ATTTCGAAAAGCTTGACTGATCTTCTGGAAATCTTTCTGCATGGTTTCCATTTTGGTGCTCAATTCATTGTTTTGATCCTTCAAATGACGTATTTGAACTTCGAATCTAAGCAAATCTTCTTCCTTTTGGACGCCCCTACTGATGCTCTTACCTTTGAATACATTTGGTGTTGATCTGGCAAGATCTTCAGTTACCAAACTAGGTTGATCATTTATCATAAACTGCAAGATTCCCTGATCCAAAAGACTTTGAACTCGACGTTCGAAAGAAAGGCAATTCTCAATGGTATGTCCTTGAGCTCCGGCATGATATTCACAATAAGCGTTGATGTCATACCAATTTGGATACGGAGGTTGGAATGGTTTTATGTAGTAGGGAGCCACTTCTCGCACTTCAAGTAGCTTCTTATATAACTCTTTATATGATATAGGGATAGTATCAAAATGAGAACCATCTTTTGTCTTGGATTGAGCTTTAGACGTCGGGAGCAGACTAAACTTCGATGATTTCAGGTTACATGATTTCTTCTCTTCTCTGGGAGCTTTTACAGTGGTCACCATTTCTTTGGTATCTCCAGATGATTTGTGAATACGAATGATGACTGTCTGCAACTTCTCAAATTGGTTAGGATCAGAAGTCCCTTGCATATCTGAAATTGCATGATTATCTTCATTAAGCTTTCTCTCTTTCTGCGCAGGAATCTCTTCTCTTTTGGCCAAAACAGATATTCTATCCATCATCTTGGACATCTGCTCTCTTATTTCTCGTATCTCCTTTTGCTCTTCAATGGGCATACGATCTTTGAGTGCATATCTCTTCTCTATCTTCAGAGTTCCCTCGGGATGTCTTTTCTTGGTCGCATCATATTTTGTTTGATCATAGAACTTTTTGTCCATTTACGATTTCTTTCCAATATAATGAACAGTCTTTCAAGTAAACACCTTTTGGTTATGCTATGATCATGCAATACAAACAAAAGAAATGAGAAAAAATAAAATAGTTAGTACCAACTAATGAAAAAATCTATCTATCAAGGTATAAATCTTAACCTCATGCTTTCTAGTTCCATGCTTTGTTTGGAAAAAGTAACCTAATCGCATGATTTTTAGTTCGCATGCATTTATTCCGAAAAAATAATAAATTAAAAAATTAAAAGCTAAAGCTTATTTCTCCTTTGTGTACACCTAAGGACAGAGGTTCAGTACTGTCTTAGATCAGGAGAAGTTCTAAGGTTTATTATATGCAGGGTTTTAGTTCTAGGAGTAAAGTTACTCGAATTGTCCTTGTTAGTGCCCCCTTAGGCTGCCAACCCTCAATCCTAGTCCACTACAGACTAAAGTGGATTGAGTTCAATTCGAGGGGATACATTTCTCTATGACTAACACGAAGAATAAATTCTCACGAAGACATAGAGTATATGAACCCCGAAAGTTACTTGCTAGGTCTGACACGGAGAATGAATTCTCACGAAGACGTCGCTTTCACTCCCACTTAAAAGGGACAAACTCAATTATAGAGCTTTATGTTATGCAAGTGTTGTGTGTGAGGAGAAATGTTAAAACCTCTAACAAACAAATAAAATAATTAATTCTTGAATAAAATAAATAAATAAAATAATAAATAATAAGTAATAAAAATAATAAGTAATAAAAAGTTGAAAGAAAAGAATTAAAAATTAAATATATGAATTTTTAATTTCTAACTGATATATACAATTTACAATTGATTTTAAAGTTTGACTAGTATCCACAGCGGAGTCGCCAAGCTGTCGTAACCGTTTTTCGTCTGGGCACGAATTTTTAAATACTTGGCGGGAAAAGTGATGTGAATAAATGGTTTAAAAAAAATAATTCGAAGTCGCCATCGGCCTTTTGGGTCAGGTAGGTCGATTACCTAAAAATTATCTTTTAAAAGAGTTTTTAAGAAAACATCAGTTAAAAGATGAATTGATCTGCGTTTTAACCAAAAATTCGTTCTTTTTAATAATAAAAAGGGATTTGTAGTCAGTTACGTTTAGGGAAGGATTAGCACCCCTACAACGCTCAAAATTGGTACTTTTTAATTATAAATTGTCTCTATTTATTGGAAAATTAAAAATTCAAAAATATATTTAATTAATAATTCTGTTATTTCAAACTTATTTTTAAGAAAATCTATTAATTTATACATTAAGATATTTATTTATTTAGAAATATCATAAAATGACTTCTAGGTGCCTTAAGACAGCTCTTTTCTTCGATATTAAAAAAATGAATAAATATAAAAACATTTTTTCTAAAAATAATAAAAAATATATTGATATAATTTATAAAAGTAAGATATTTACTTATTTAGAAATATCAGAAAAGGGTTTCTAGGTGCTTTAAGACAGCTCTTTTCTTTGATATTAAAAAATAATTAAATATCCAAAACATTTTCTTAAAATAATAATGAAAAATAGATTAATATATAAAAATATGATATTTATATAAAACAAATAGATAAATGTTACTTATTATATATTTATATTAAATAATAATATTTAATAATAATAATTAAATATATTGCAAATAAATATACAAAATTAAAATAATAAATTAAATTAAAATATAAATAACAGTGACTAAAATAAATAAAATAAAAACTATAGTAGTAAAATGTAAAATTTATGAAAATATGACTAAATTATAATATGTTAAAATTTAATAACCTAATTCGTAATTAACTATTTAATATTACAGGGATTAAACATACTATTATACCTATTTATTAATTTAGTGACTAAAATGAACTTATATCAAATTTGAATATCAGATTAAAATAGATTAAAACATGCATTCGGGATTAAAATAAAATTAATTAGAATTATAGGACTAAATCTGTTATTTATCCTAAAATATATAAATACTGCTATGGGCTAAATTATAAATTAATAAAGTTAGAAAACCGAATTAAAACTTATCAAAAATGATTTCAATGACTAATTTGTAATGTTACAAAACAGAAGGTCCTGCGGAAAGGGTTTAGCCATACCCAAAATTACAGATACACCCCTCCCCAAAACGACGTCATTCGGGGAGGGATTTATAAACCCTAAAATACACGGCCTTAAGGCCATTCTATTCAATTTCCTCTTTCACTTTCTCTCTCTAACTGAGAGAGAATTAAAAATTCTCTGGCTTCTCTCTAACTCTCTCAACGGAGAGAATCCCGGCAGCCACTGGCCATTGTTCTCCGGTGGCGATCGCCGCCGCCGGGCACCGTCAAACGGTGGCCGGAAATTTACAAAACCCCCAGAAGATAGATCTGAACGCCCTAATGACGGTTCTAGTCTCCTTTTTTCCCTAAATCTCTTTAGATCGACGTAGATCTAATTTTTTTACCTTCGAAAAATGAGACTCCGGTGACGCTCGGTATTTCCGGCAATGAGCAAGGCTTCAAGGGTAAGTTCCTCTTCTTCTCTTCGTTTCTGTTTTGGTTTACTGCTGGTTGTGGGTTCGTGGCTCGTCTCTGTTTCTCGTCTCCCGTTCTGTTCGTCTCCCGTTCTCTGTGTCTCCCGTTCTTTGTGTATCTCTTATCTCGTGGCTCTCTCCTTTTCTTGCAGGGGACGGTGGCTTTTATAGCCACCACCGGTGATGGCTTCAGACCGGTCCAAAGGATGAAAGGCCCGATGAGTCACCATAGCTATGGTGGTGACTCACCATAGGGCTCGACGTGGGTGGCTTCGTGACGTTCTGGAGTGTCGGCAGTAGCTGTTGGACCACCTGGCAGAGACGTGGCGTGGCTGACTGTCGGCAGCAGCGGGAGGAGACACCTGGAATCATCAGAGGCGGCTGGAAGCATCTGGAAACGGCTGGCTGCTAGGGTTAGAAACCCTAGGGTTTTCAATCTGGAACCCTTTTGGGTCGTTGGATCTTGCCAGATCCAACGACTGATGATGTTGACGGCTGCTGGAAATGATACAAACCCTAGAAGGGTTTGGGTCATCTTTTGGGCCGGTTCTGGTTGGGTTTGAGCATGTAAACGGGCTCTGGGTTTTGGGTCTTGGGTATTTGTAATTCTTTTTTATTTTAAATAATAATATTTAATAATATTATTAATAATAATATATATATAATATTAATAATAATAATAATAATTTTACTAATAAAAATAATAAAACGAAATGAAAAAATTAGTGTTTACAGTGTCGTTTCAAACAATATATTTACATACGCATAAAAGAGTTGAACATAAAATGGGAAGTTGTTTTGATTTTATTGAATAGGGGATATCATATGATATGATCTTTCCATAGACTGACAAACATTGTTTTACAGGGTCAAAGGAATACAAGTCAGATTTGCAGTCACCTTTTGCTTTTTCTACCATATTTTGTATGACTTTGCAAACAGAAATCAGTAAAACAAAGGTGTTGAAGTGGCAACATGTTCAATTGCTGACACTCTTCAAAGTGTGTGAATTATGGCTCCCATCCTTATCAGCATGCACAACTACAGTCTCCTGCTCTTGTTTCTGCTTCAACATAATTCTCACAACTTTTGGGACAATATTATCATAATTGTCCACAATGGGAAAAACTCTAACAAAAAAGGGGAAAAATCGAACGTACTTGTATTAGACACATACTCGTATCCGACACTCCCCCCTAATCTAAGTAACATAGATGACCATAGCCAAAATTTGAGGCTTACATTGCTTTTCCACTATGATAAGTTGTTGAACTCATTTGAGATGGAGGGGTAGCTTACTGTGCCAACAAATTATGATCATGGAGCTGTAGGTTAGTTTTTTGGCCCCATGAAAACTGTTGTTTGAGGCCAGTATATCAGAAACTACAACATAGTGGCTCCCAAAAAATCGGAGTTCCAGTTATGGTGCCTACTGAGTGCCTCTTTGCTTTGATTTGTTGGCAATATAGAGCTTGCTAAACTTAGTGGACCATCAGAAATGAAGTCATAGGCTATTATCAGGCTCACCTGCAGGTTTCCTGCTCCAACCAACTGAGCCGGCTTTACATTCCCCTCGTTTTCTTTTACTGAAACATATGTCTGAAGCTAGACATGATCTCAGAATTGATTGCTCCTGAGACAACGTTTTTTGTTGCGTTATTAGGCTCTGATGTTGCAATACGAGAAGGGTGGGAGCTCTCTCCTTCTACTTTCTCGGTTTGATGATGTTGCTTCATAGATCGACTGTTTATTGCCATTAAAGCTTGTTTATCTCCGGCATTTCCTTCATTCTGTATCGGAACATTTTCCACAATCTGCAAATGCCATCAGGTATCATAATGAACAGACTATCATTTGCTATAACTAAATCGAGAGTAGTTCATGCATGAGAAGCCGAAAAAACATGTCAAACTCAAACAGATAACAGTCTTTTATTGTGCAAAGGAGGTTGAAGCCTGCGGATAGCAGAGGAAATAACCGATGCTGGGATACGAGACCCAGACTTGCTAGATTGTTTTCGTTTTTCAGTGTTTTAACCTATGCCTCCGGAAATCTTTGCAATGAATTATCATATATCTAGGGGAAAGAAAATGCAGATCAGTTAAGCTTACTTTCAGTTCAAAATAAAAATCGATGGCGTTATCTTATCTGGTAAAACATCAGCCAAGAATACACATGCAAGTTCTGTATGTTAAAAGGGCTTACATCTTCGCACGAGTCTACAAGTGGTGGCTGGTGGCAGGTAACTTCAGCAGACGACAATAATCCAACAGTGCTTTCGATTATATCAGGAACATGGAAAGCCTCTCCATAACTTGAAATGGCACTTGCAGGAATAACCATATCTCCAGCATATTTGCAAATTTGTTGAGTTGTGTTAAATGCAGGTCTGGCAGACATTGTGTCTCCGTTGCCAGCTGACAACGTAGGGCTAGGGGCGGAGCTGGTTTGAGCATCACAAGCAGCAAGGAAGCTTAAGTTCTCAGAGGAAGAAAACTTCGAGACATTTTTCGACATAACTTGATCGAGAAGATTCCTGAGTTTCTGAACCTTAGCATGCACAATTTCAATCTTCCTAAGTACTTGCTCCAAGGAATTATTTTCATCTCTGAACTCGAAAGCAATTGATCGTTATTAATGCCGGATTTATCATTGCAATCTGTATGTTGGTCCGTATCAGCTGCACCAAGAAATGACAAAGATCACTTCACAATCAAAACTAAGAGAAACCGAAATCTACAAAAACGTAGCCTTGACAGTTAACATATGATAATGATTTTCAGTGTCATCCTAGGATCCATAGGACTAGGTTTTTGCAAAATGAATAGTTATGAATGAAATTAAAATATAGGAGATCGATTCAGGGAAAGGGAAATGATATTACCTCTGTTGGGAAAATCGTCGGCAATATAAGCACCATCTGCAATGGTTTTCTTGTTTTCCGAAATATATTACAAGCAAACCACACTTGAGCATCAGGGTTAAGGCCAGACAAGAAAAACACTTAAACAACAACGATAAAGAATAAAGGAAAAGCTCATACCAAAATACGAAAATAAGTTATGACATGACATGTATGAGGCTATATCGGTTGCTTCTTCAATTCTCTTTCTTTTCCTCCGCTTGATGGCCTTTTTAAGGTTATACTGACTAGAAAATGGCAATGATTTTGAACCAAAACCTTCCAGTGCAGATTGATCAATTCCAGGAAACTTTCTCTGATTGTATGCTGAAAGCTCTCTGGTGTATTTTCCTGCTTGAGACTCGATTTGTTTGATTCTCAGTTCTGTCCATTAGCAGCGCCACATGAGAGGCCGAATGAAGTTCCTCCAATGGCTTGTCAGCCTTATTTTGTTTATGCCTCACAACCTCCATGTTATCAATGCTCTCTTTGCACTTATTCATCCACCTTGAACAAAGCTATCCAAGGGAACCGTCTTCTCCTTGTCAGCTGCAGCTTTTGCAGCACAATGTAGTTTATTACCTGGATTAACATCCATCAGTATCCGTTCAGAAGCCATACAACAGTCATAGTACCAAAAAGCAATGCACCAAAGACAATGGCTCCATGGTTCACCTTCATGCTGATTAAAAACCAGCTTATATTAAATTTCAAAAACTCAAATCTTCCAAAATCAAATGTGCACGTGAACTAAAGATAAACACAGCTAGATTATTAGCTAATTTGGTAATTAAACAAGGCGGGAATAGCACAAATTATTTTGATCAAAGGAGGTAAATGAAAAGAAAGAAAGAAATGAAATTAGAGAATTCCCCCACAGGAAGTTAGAACTATAAGAAAATGCAGAAGCCATTAAAATGTATACCATCATTCATTTCATATGATCATATAAGATACAAGAAATAAGTGATTATGCAGATACATAAGGCAAATTGTATAAAACGCTACCATATTTGAAGCCTGGAATCCAATTATCATAAAAAATGCATTTCTATCCTTGAATTTTGAATTTGAAACAAGACATCAGAAAGAGCTTGTTGAACAAATATTCCAAATTTTAGTAACAGCTGACTAAGTTCTTCAATTATCAGAAACCATTCCAGACATTGCAGTGTTTGTTAGCTCAATTGAATTTTGAATTAAATACAATTCAAGATAACAAATAGGAACAAATTTAAGAATTTGGTGACTAATTTGCCAAAAAAAAGAACGAAATGGAAGAAACTTATTTTGCAGAAACTGGAGGGAGAGGGGGCAATAGAGCAGTAAAGCATCATCTCAAAAGAAAAAGCTAACAATGTGAAAAATTCAAAGAAATCCCCCCACCTTCCTCAAATTTGTAATTCAGATATCATCATGCAAGTAAAGCTCATGTCAACATGCATGCATGCGTCATGACATTCATATTCATATTCACATATCCCACATTCATGAGAAGTAAGAAATGATCATGAAAGTAGAAATAGCAAAAGAAATATATTCCAAGCTATACTCAAACAACCCATTAAGATAAAACAAGAAAGTAAACAAACGAAGAGCAAACCAAAAACCAGAAGGAAACAAAAACAAAATAAGGAAAAAAAAAACTTTCCTTCTCCTGAAAACAGTACCCATCACATATTATGTTGGTATATACGTATAAAAGTACGTATAAAGAAATGCATAAGAACCTATGAAGAAACAGAGAGAGGGAATGTACCAACGAGGTAGAGGTAGAGGTAGAGGTAGAGGCAGAGGGAGAGAGAGAGTGAAGTGAAGAAGAAAAAGAAGGCGGCGAGGAAGAGAAATGAGGAAGTTAACGTTGTAGTAAAATAAAACCTAAAGAGATCTACTTTTAGTTTTATCTTATTACTGTGTATGCTTTTCGCTGACGACATTGTCCTAGTTGCTGAAACAAAAACTGAGCTGAATAGTAGACTGGCTACCTGGAAGACTGCTTTGGAAGAAAAAGGTCTTAGGATCAATATTGAAAAGACAGAGTATTTATGTTCAAACTTCAGTGGGAACCAAAACGATGGAGATGTAGAAGTATGCATCGAAGGACACGTTCTCCCCTCAAAGGATTGTTTTAAGTACCTAGGGTCTATGATACATAAGGATGGGGGTGTAGATGATGACGTTACACACCGTATAAAGGTGGGATGGCTAAAGTGGAGGGCAGCTACTGGAGTTTTGTGTGACAAGAAGGTGCCTCAAAAACTTAAGGGAAAATTTTATAGAATGGCAATAAGACCAGCGCTGTTGTATGGATCAGAATGTTGGGCAATCAAGAAGGATCGCGTAAGGAGGATGGAGGCCGCAGAAATGAGAATGCTTCGATGGGCATGTGGTAAGACTCTATGGGACATGACACCAAACTCTGCTATTAGGATGTCCTTGGGGGTGGTGTCTGTATCCGAAAAATTGAGAGAGGGAAGACTACGGTGGTTTGGGCATGTCCTTAGGCGACACCCGTCGGATGCGGTCAGGAGGGTAGAGTCGATTACAGTCGACGGTGCCAGAAGGAGAGGACGACCAAGGCGGAAGTGGGAAGACTGCTTAAGATCTGATTTGAAGGATTTAGCCCTTACCGAGGACATGACCTCTGATAGGAAATTATGGAGACTTAAGACCAGGGTAGTCGATTAGTGCGGGTCACATCCATAGGGTGTAGCATTTCTGTCTTCTTTTAATGTCTTTATAGTAATTCTCATGACTTCTACTTTTTATACGTTTCTGTCATTGGAATTAATGAAGGCTTAGAACTAGGGTAGCGGATTAATGTTGCCTTAGTTTAGGTTTTAACCCTTTTAACTTTATTAATTCTCGTAGTTTGCTATCGTTCAACTTCTGTGTATCATTCTCTTCATGTTTCCTCTCTTTAATTTTAGTCGGGTCTTAGGTTTCTGTCTATATGCTGAGATTATTATGCAGGGATTTATTAGCAAGGATTACTTCCCATTATATGACGCGCATATGAAGATTGTATATGAAGACTGTTCAAATATTTATTTATACATGCATTGCATTTTATCTTTATTTTTAATTTTCTGACTGCCGGAGGTCTTCCACGGAAGCTGCTCTTAACTATGCGTTGGGGGCAGCCTACTACTCTACCTCCCCCTTACCCCATTGCATATGGGAATAGGGTTTTGTTGTTGTTGTTGTTGTATAATATTAATTAATTTAAATTTAGATGATTCTTATGATATATTATGTAAAGTTGAAGGATATGATTTAAACTTGAAAATCAATCCACTAGTTACTAAAATATTTAAGTTATTCAAATCCTATTTTATACTCAAATTTTATTTGAAATTCTTTCGAGTCAATTTTATAAAATTACAAGTCGAACTAAATCTACTCGAAAAAAATTCAAATAAAATTATAAAATTACTAGTCGAATCAAATCAAGTTGAAAATTTTAATTTTTTAATCGAATCAAATTTTACTCTCTCATACATAAAGAGGTTCCCCTTTCTTTTACATTTGACTTTTTTTATGTCTTAATGCAAAAATAAGTGTCTAAATTATATAACGTTAACTTTATGTGTCTAATTTTTTTCCGCTCAAAATGAATGTCTAACGTCCCTAACGTTACATTTTTAAATACATATATCGTAAAGTTCGTTAAAGAATACTATTATGACAAATGTAATTACTTTATTTTTTATTTTTTAAAAAAATTAAAATAATATTATTATTTTATCATCCATCATAGGAGTTATTGAGCTTGCAGTAACATCACTATTGGTTTATCGGCCATTTCCAACATAGTGTATATATATATATATATATATTAAATCCAACATAGTATATAAAAAGAATGAATAAGTGATCTTAACAGTTAAAAAAATATTTTTTTAAATAATTCAAAAAATTTCAAATATATATTATATTATAATTACCTATACTAACAAAAAAAAATATAGAAAGAAAATTAGTTTCATTTTCCATGCCTCCAGGTATTTTTCTAAAATATTAAAGCCTTATATTCTTTGTTTGTATTTTTTCAACATTTTCACTTTTGGGTATTATAATTTACAGATTTAATGTAAAAATAAAAACTCAAAGTACACTCTAAGGGGCTATTTGTTTGGCTCTGAATAGAACCATTCAGCGCTGAATGCTGAACCGTTCAGCATTCAGCGTGTTTGTTTCTCACCTCTGAATGATTCAGTGCTGATTGATTCAGCAAAACAGTGTTGAATGATTCAACATCAAAGTACATTCTGAATGATTCAGAGCTATTATCAAACAGCATGTCATATTCAGAGCTAATTCATACAGAGCATCTGAATCATTCAGCATTTGAATCATTCAGCGCTTAATCATTCTGAAGTAAACAAACAACCCCTAATTTAATTTTAAGGGCTTAAATTAATTTTAAGTGCTTAAAGAATTTGTAGTTACAATTAAGTACTTA